TTTATATGAATGTATGTCTGAGGGGAACTTACTGTCTTTAGAAAAGTTTAGATGGTATTTTTTCTTTTCATCTTGCCTCTGTAAAATGCATATTAAAGTTCATAAGTGCAGCGCTGCCTTGATTACAGCGGAAACCAAGGAAACGCTTTAAGCGCCACCTGCTGGGAGACAGTGAATCTGCGTCTCATTCAGCTCGTCTGCTGTGTGTTTCAAGCAGATATTTTTATGTATAGTTTCACAAAACTGAAGTCAAACCATTCTGTTTTTGCTTCAAGTGCCGTATTAGTATATTATTAGTGTGTTATATTTCAATTTCACAAAGAAACATGCAGCATTTTGTCCAAGCAATAATAAAAGGACACATTTATTTATAATTTGTCTTAAACCTCATTTTGTTTAAAAAAATAAAATAAAATTGTGAATCGAATCGAGAAATCAAAATCGTGAATTGAATCGAATCGGGAGTTGAGTGAATCGTTACATCCCTAATAATACATCAACATGCATTGAGCGATCAGGTATCAAGCTTACCTGTTTGAAAAAGTGTTTTGACTCTCGACACGCAGTCTCCACCGTGAACTTGATGCTGAAGATGTTACACAGCTTCGCACCGTATCCATTACGGCCACCTGTTAACAACACACACGATTAAACATTCCAATCAAGTAAAGTCCATTCATATGAATCCATGCACTTCCAGCTCGACCTCACCTGTGACCTTCTTCTCATCATCATCATAGTTACTGGAGGTCAGGAGTTGCCCGAAGATAAGAGCAGGAACATACACCTTTTCCACCTTGTGCTCAACCACAGGAATACCCTTTCCGTTGTTCCACACACTGATGGTGTTATTCTCCCTGCACACACAAACATGCATCACTTAGATGTCTTCCCGATCTACAACGGTGAACAATCAGAGCATGGGAAGTACTTACGAGTCAATGTTAACCTTGATGCAGTTCATAGCTTTGTCCCTCTGTTTGTTATCAGCAGCATTCACTAGGAATCAAAGAGTGAGTATTATACTCAAGAAGCAGCCCTTAGAGCGCATAAGGTCAAAACTGAGTTGTCTTTCAAATGTTTGACCTTCTTTTAACAATATTTCATGACCTCTATGTATGCGCATTGATTGATGTTTATGTGAATAGCCTACATTAAACATTAAACAGCTGACTTTTCTTTAAGCGAAGGTAATTATTAAAGAGTTTTCATAATACAATAAAAGGTAAACTGTTTAATTAGAGCTGTCGGTTAATCATAGCAATGACTTCTGATTAATCATTCTTATAATCCATTGTAAAAACTAGGGATGCTCCGATCAGGATTTTTGCAGCCGATACGGAGTACCGATTTCTTGTCATGGTGACTGGCCGATACCGATGCCGATTCTGATGCTTCAAGCTTTATATCAGTGGTTCTCAACCTTTATTTCCACCGGGCCGCACTATGGTCCAAGTGCAAGTCTCGCGGACCGCACGCATATCATTTACATATTACGTCAGCAATACAAACCAACCCTTATTTAAAATATTATGATATCTAATCGATTACATTCATTGAAATAAATAAATAATTCTACTCCCCATAAATAACACCCAATTGTGTGAACTTCGGCTCGAAAGGAGTAACAGCACAATCATAGGCGGAGTTTCACTTTTATGCGTGGGGACCGTGACTGTCAAGAGCGGCTCGACGGTGTCTAATGTCCAGCAGTAGCAGCATGCTTGAGTTCTGCGTTCAAATGCACGCAATAGGCTTAAGCTTGCCGCAAAGCATCGGCAAAAGTAATTACCATAAATGCGTCAGGGGGAAACAGTAAGGAGATATTTTAATTATTTACTAATAAACTAGTGTTTTCTGAGTCGGTGTCACAAGGATGAAGTTGGCGATCCTGACTCGCCACCTTTTCATTAGACGCGCCTTTAGAGAGAAGTGCATCTTTACGGATTATGATTATAATGAGAGTTTTTGTATTTGTTTTATTTCGTTAAGTAGTCATTTAAAGCTTGTTATAGATATATTATCATGTCTGTGAGGCATGTATTCGCGGAGTTTCGGTTCATTTTTGTGAGGCGTGCCTGTTCAAGACGAGACGGCAGAAAGCGCATCATGTTTGATTTCTTTATTTTATAAAAGCACAACGTTTTGTTGATATCGGGTAATAAAAAATGCATTCTGATTATTTGCGGGTGGGTCGGGGGTGGATAAAATAAATCATAAATGCAAATATTAACTACATTTTTTTCCATGAGGCAGACGATTTCGTGTGTGTGTGTGTTCGTTTGCCTGATCGGGAAGTTGCAGTGACAGAAACGGTGACATTCCAGATCAAGTTTGAAAGGAGTAAAGCCTGTGTTAATGCTATTGAGTAGGCTAATATGGCCAAAGAAGATTTTGTTTTATAAATAAATGTCCATTTAAAAGCAGCCCACGATCAGCGTGTTATGTTATCGTTATCCCTTACGGCTCCGACGAGGTTTTGTTCCGTCCTCCACACTGTGACAACTCCCGTGGAGCCGTGACGACGTGCCGCAGACGTGTGCAGTGAGGCGCAGATCCACTCGAACGCCACTGAATCTGCTGTTAAAAATGAACCATCTATTCATCATATCATCATGCAAAACATACGCAACAATTAGCGAATTTTTCATTGTTTCTCGAAACGTCATAGCATTTCCACACTGGCGATGACATGACTGCGGCGCCACGCATCATGTACGTCGTCACGCGTTGATGTCATCAAATTGCGATCGGTCCGTGAGATCGGCCAAGTTAGTGAGTACCGATCGAGTCATAAAATGTGATTATCGGCCGATACCGATCTCCGGCCGATCGATCAGAGCATCCCTAGTAAAAACTACTAGCAGCAGACTACTTGATCATCACAAAAAAAAAAAAAAAAAAAAAAACTCACCCAGAATCTCGTCAAAGATCTTGTAGAGTCCTGGGACATACGTGATGTCTCTGCAGTTCATTCCCATATCCTCATCAAACACCCACATTTGCTAAACAGGAAAGAGAAAGCGAAGAAATATTGGGTTATTCTACAGTTGTGACGGCACTGCCATCTGAAAACATTTAAATTACTTTCAAGAAATGAGTTGGCCAGGTTCTTGACAGAATGAAAGACAAACTCTTAATTCTGTTATTTTTTAAGTATAGTTCAGTATGAATTCTTGCCTTAATAAAATGAGTGACCACTTTAGAATAACCATTGATTCTACTGCTGTATTAATGAAACATGTCATGGGCAGTATGCATTATTTATAAACAGTGGGTGCCAGTGGCCCTGATAAATGGCAGATGTGGAAGATCTCTACCTGAGTAACAGGCTCCACAGAGCCTATGTAGGTGTCAGGCCGGAGCAGAATATGCTCCAGTTGGGTCTTCTTCTGATAGATCCTTTCCACAGACAGACGCTTGTCATCTTTCTTGGTCTTACTGAGAGCCTTATTCTCAAACAAACTCTAAAAAAAGACACAAAAACAATGTTACAGCAAATAAGAAGCAAGGCAAGATTGCTAAAAGAAACGAAAGCACTTTTTTTGGAAGTCGAGACATGGGACAAAGGACAGAACGTTTTATGACTACAACCAGTCCAATGATTTTCTGCTTTATACTATGTTGTGTATAGTATACACTTTTTTAAATGAGCCAGAGATTTTGAAAATGGAAGGCTTAAGAGGTGTTATGGTGAAGGCCAGTCTTAATCTATAAAGCATTTTGGACAAAATTTGCATGGCGCCATCAATATTGTGGACAATTTACTAAAACAGATAACAGGCATCTCCAAAATGTTACCGGGTCAACTTTCAGAAGTACACTGCTAACCTCAATGCTAACAGACATGACAGACTACAGCCACAGTTTGCAAATCTTGTAAATCTAAGAGGAAAAAATAAAGCGTCACTTTCTCTTTCTGCTTTTGTTAACACGTGTGACCAACACCACGTTACAAGTATATTGTAACAACAGTATGGAACTGTAGCGGAAATGATGGTTACCATGGTAACTTTCTCCAAGGGTGATGAATCAGTTTTATTTTTCTCGTTACTAAAATTTTAATTCCAAACGGCTTTTTTGCGCCCTTGAAGGGCACGCCATTTGTAGGGACGTTCCAAATGAAAGTGAACAACTTCACGAAGGGACCTTCCAGAAGTCCGTTAGCTCGAAAGGAACATGCGATGGTCACTTCACGGAAGTGATTTCCGTTTGTGATCATGTGATCTTCGGTTAAGAGTTCTTGCGATGCTTTTTTTATACAAACGTAAATAGAATAGGCTAATTAAATGTGTCTATTTTAATGCAAGCCAAAATATTCTTCGTCAGTGATAGAAATATGATTTAAGATGGTAGTGCAAGCACGTTTAGTTTGAAAAAGTTTAAAAGTAAATAAGACACAATTAGACAATATTTGAATAAAATAATAAGAAATATTTATTTGCAACAACTGATGGAGTGCTGAATGCTGCACGCACGCGCAGCGTTGTCAAGGTAGAAGAAGTTCCAAACGCTTATACAAGACAGTAATGCCCTAACGTTTCACCCATCAAAGAACACACTTCAAGGGCTCTGCCCTTCGAAGGGAGTAGTGCATAGGGATGCTCACTTCCGTTTGGAACTCGCCCTCAATACACAATGAAATACAAAATGTGGCCTACACTAAAAAAAACTATGCATTATGTTAACGTTACACAACGCAGTACAAAACACGTTAGCTTGTGTCCAACGTCAACATATTTCAACTAAATTCCGGCAAAAGTATGACCCATATATAATGATAGCCGTGTAGTATACTAACGTTAGAGTAAAACACTTAACATTTCAACCCTAAACTAACTACTTCTATTTAAGTACTTGAACAATAAGAACAAATAGACAAAATTACTGTATCACACAGAAATATCATGTAACGTTATTCGTTCAACTAATGTTTTTCATACATAATACATGAACACGGATTATACATCATTAAAGGTCTCGTTCTTTAGAAAATGATGTTATATAAATTAACTTACCTTCAGAGGTCCTTCTGTTCCAGCCATTTTTACTGTTTAACGTTACCTCTTTCACGAAGCAAATTAAACTAAAATACAAACAGATCTGCCTTCAACTGTAACAAATCACTGGCCCTCGTAAATGACAGAAGATGCTTCAAACTATCTGAATTAAACTTATGAGCGCAGGAACTAATTCACTGACACGCGCGCGACTACAAACCACAGAGCAACAGTAACCGACTTTCAAATTTCAAATCACACATATGTCCTCCCGCCAAGGACGCTGGCCAATCACTGTCAGGAGTGGGTTGGGTTGTGGTGTTCTTAACCAATGGCGTTACAGATTTTGAGCAGCGACTCGCCTAACTTCATAGGTCCAACAACATAGGCGCTAACACGCGTTAAGCCAATGAGATTTTTGTTCCGGTCTCTCTCACGGTCAAACGGTCAAAACATTTTATCAACAAACAGAAAAATGTTTGCGTTGTTGTCATTATATTTCTGTGAATGGCATAAAATACACTGAGAAAAGGATCACTCTCAAAGAATGAGAGTTTGATGATGAAATGTACTAAATCCTATTTAAATGTCTATAACGTTTATTCTTAATTTCTTCTTTAAATTATTATTTAAAAACAATAGTGTTAAACATATAGTAAGGTATTAAGTACAACATAAACATGTTTACTCTGTTGCCATATATCTAATATTAACTAAAAAAATATTTAACCTATAAATTAATTGAGAGAGCAAATGCTATTATTAATAGTATGCATATTAAACTTATCATTTATATGGATTTAAAGTAGTGTTATTGCATTTTTAAAGATGATAATCCACTTCAGTTCAAATATAGTCAGATTCACCATACATAGCCTACACTTTTTTATTTATTTAAATGTATTTGTAAGTGAAATGGACATAGATAGATTTTCTCTGTGATGGGGCATAAAAGCTTATTGGTTGTTGGAGTGGTAATAACATTGATTCATGATGCACACGTGCCTCTACCTCCCTCCCCTTTCTGTCTCTCCCTTCCTCTCTCAGCATCTTTCATTTCATCACTGTCCTTGGGTGTGTATAGCAGTGTCTGACATTCTGCTGCTGAGGACTGTGTGTGTGTGAGTGTGTGTGTGTACACGCAGAGTAGCCCAATGACGTTGTAAATTTGTGCTCATCCAGGAACAGAAGTCCTCCAGCAGCATCCCGTGAGCAGGGCAGAGCAGCAGTATGTCAGCCCATCCCAGCAGCTGAGCTTTGCTGTGGGATACGCAACTACATAGAGGTGAGTCTGTTTATCCATCTTTCTTTTTCCATCCTGTCCTCCTTCCATCCATTTGTCTTAATGAAATATTCATGATTTACAGCCTCTGTTTGTCCTGATTGTCATCTGCAGCTCTTATAGCAGAGGTGAGCTAGGTTAATGCTTTCTATAAAGAATGTAAGTATTTCTTTTCACACGTTTTTCTTGATCAGGCATTGTGTGTTTCGAATACAAGGTTATGCATCTCTGCGTAGCCAAGGAAATGTTGATGAGCATGTACCATTTCTGTTGTTTTAGGCCTGCAGTGAAAGTAAGCTTTTATTTGCTGATATGTGCACACAGGTCAGATTCGTCCCCTCCCATCTCCATATCGATTTGTTTCCTATTGCCATTCCCTGACTGTCAGTTACTTAGCAGCCCCCCCCTCCCCAATTCTTATAGATGGGATAATGTGTGTGGGGGTCAGTTTTATGGCCATTAGCTTCATATCTCCATCACAGTGAGATGACTTCTGAAAGTGAGGCCCTTATAGTCATATAGACAGTGTCAGTGGCCTAGACAGTCAGATTACAGTGATTTCTTATAAAATTGTAGTCCTGTCTTGTGTTTATTCTGTATGTAGTGACTGTTTAGCCCCCAAAAAGGAGCAAAAGCTGTCACTGGAGCAGTATCATTTCACAAGGTAACTTTACGGTACTAATAGGTACCTTTTAGGGGTAAATAAGGCATGAAAGTGACAGCTTTTTTACCGTTTTTTCTGAGTGTGTAAAGAGGCCTTGGTTAATGGATCAGAGGTTTGAACTTAACCACAGGGGAGGTGAACCTTTTTCAACTACCTCTCCTAATCACAATTCCTCTCTACACACTATTTCATCACTGTAAAAATGCTGTTAAAAGTTATTTGGTTAAAAACTATAATAGAGCTAATTGGGCATTTTGTGTAATTTTACAGCAAACTACTACAGATAACTACAGTTTTTGGAAGTAAAAAAGAGGAACTAATCTTATAATTTACAGTGGGAATATTTTTTTTTTTACAGTAATCTGTGACAGCTCACATTTGATTGCAATTCCATTGAAATAACGGTTTCTACTTATTTTCTTATCAATTGTGTACATTAGGGTTTTATATTACATTTTATTTTGTTAAATAAGGATTATTGCTTTATTTTAGTGTTGTTTAATGTTTGTTACCATGATGGTGTTTTGTATTTGTGTGCATGACACTGTGTGCACCTTCTATGTATTATTTACCTCAGCTTGTTAAAGACCTACTTGTGATTAGCTTTATTTTTATATCTTGTGCTTTTTAAAGGTGGTTGTCAGTATGTTGTGAAGTTAAATCATATTTAAGTAATATCTTATAACATTATTTTAGTTTATGAAATATAAGGGTTTTTTACTGTAAATTTAATTTCAATCTGTAAAACTTAAAATGTTCTAGGCAACCACAGCTGCCTTTTTAATACCATAAAATTCACAGTTTTTTTCTTTAACAGTGAAAATACAGATAAACAAAAATGTGCAGATCAGCCAGATAGATAGATAGATAGATAGATAGGGCAGCAGATGGCACAGTGGCCTGTTGCCTGGACACTGTGTATGTGGCAGCCAAATCCAACCTGGCTAACTGGTCAGTGCCGTTTATGTGTGTGTGTGTGTGTGTGTGTGTGTGTGTGTGTGTG